CCGGAACTCCCCCGTGGGATTTGGAGGCGGAAGTGCTCGCCGAAGTTTATCGGCGAGTGGCCGACTTCCGGGCGGAGAGCGGATTTCGCCCTCCGCCCGAGGATGTGCGCGAGTGGCGCGAAGCCGCTCGCCGAGCCACGATGGCTCGTTGGTCGTTCCGGCTGGAGACTCCACGCGCTGGCTTTGCCGCCGTGGAGGCTCTCCAGCCGGTCATCGCCGAGTGGGCAGGGCGGCAGCACGGGACCCTTTCCTTCCGGCTGACGCAGGTGCTTTCCGGGCACGGTTACTTCGGGAAGTACCTGCACTCGGTCGCTAGGAGGGAACTGAGTCCCGCCTGCCACCACTGCGACTGCAGTGAGGACTCGGCCCAGCACACGCTGGCGGTCTGCCCCGCATGGGCGGCGCAGCGTCGGGCCCTCACTGCAGTCATCGGAGTGGATCTCTCGCTACCGGCCGTAGTACGCTCCATGGCCGGTAGCGACAGTTGTTTTACCGCGGTCGCAACCTTCTGCGAGGTAGTAATCTCGCGGAAGGAGGCGGCGGAGAGGGCCCGGGAGGACGACCTCCACTCGGACCCGATCCGCCGCCGGCGAACCGGGCGGCGGAGGCCCGGCTATCACAGCCTCATGCCGCCCTGAGTGTGGCCGCGGGTGGACGGGGTGGGTTTCCCCTCCACCCGCATTAGTTGGCCAGCCGCGAGGGGGCGGCGTCCGCGTGTGCCGGACGTCGCCTAAAGAGAGGAAAATATATCGAGACGGAGCCCGCACCAGGAGCGGGCTGGCGCTAGGAGGGGTCCGGATGTCTTAACAACAGCTGTTCCCGGATCCCTCCTGTTACAGGCGCAGAGTGGCACACCGTGTGGTTTTAGTCGGTCCGAGTCCGACACACCACCCCGCCGCAAACCCCGGAGGGGTGACGGTCCGAGGGGATTTCCACACGTTAAAAAAAAAAAAAAAAAAGGGTTTGTGTCAAGTTTTCCTTCTAGTGCTGTTGTCCTGCGTAGTTTTTTCCCTTAGTCGGCTCTTACGACACCCACGGGATGAATAGGGGTGGTGACACTCTGTATTCTTAATCCGTCACCACACGGACCTTATGCTACTTAAACTCTATATACCAATAAAAGGAAAAAAACAGGTTCCAATTAAATGTCAGTTCATTAATCCAAACTTTGAAATATGTGTCTAAATTATGCAGTTAATCCAACTTCGATATTAAGAATCTCATTAATCAATCAAAACCATCAATAATTATGCACTGCAGAACTTATCCTATTTGGAACCGACTTTGATTAGCGATCGTAGGGAAAATTACCTTCATTAGTGGGATAGTTATGGCAGATTTATTGGGACAGATGAATTCACCTATTTCCTTTTCAACACCCTACTTCAATTGTTATCGAGGTAGATACGATTAAAATTCTTATTCTGCATACGTTTTACGGTTTGAAAGTTAAGCTACGATATACTTTTATCGGTGATGTTTGTGTTACAATTTTTTTTTATGTCAGAAGTGGCAGTCGAGCAGACGGGTCACCTGATGGAAAATGACCATCGCCGCCCATGAACGTCTGCAACTCAGGAGTTACAAACGCGTTGCCGGCCTTTTAGGAAGGAGTACGCTCTTTTCTTGAAGGTTTGTAGGTCGTATCGGTCTGGAAATACCGCAGACGATAACCCGTACGATACGATAGAAAATGGTATGATTGAAATTCTTATTCTGCTTAATTATTAAGCTACGATATTCTTTTACCGATTAATATTTGTGTTACAAGGTGCTTTAGTTTATCCTAAAATTGTTGAAACATAATTAGAGATTAGGTATAATTCAATATCAATTTGAGGGAACCTAGTTGTTAATATTTTTATGATATTTTCACTTCGTGTATGTCTATGTCTTTGTGTGTGTATGTCGTTACTCATGACCATAAAGAAAGTTAAAAATATATTTAGTTTTTTCCTTTACTCGGTATAAAATGGTAAGGAAAGTGGTGTTCAAATATTGATTGAAATTAAATTTGGACTTTATGACCGATAAGTGTATTGATGCGGTTTAACGAATTGAGTCATCTTATACTATGAAAAGGACTTTCAAAGTAATTGTTCAGTTATTGTAAAAATCAATTTCACTGACTTCAATACCCATTCAATGTTTTCTGTATTATCATGGCTTGATAGGAAGACCTTACAGGTAACTACATTTTATAAATAAAACTTATGAGAATAAAACTCTCTAACCAACCACTCTCCATTGCCAGGACAATGTTGAAACAGACATACTATAGGTGCTCAAAGAAATACTCTCTCGTTTACTTAAAACACTGAATAACCATATTATTCAACGGAATTATTATTGTTATTACCAACAATATTTGGGAATTAAATTGAATGAGTATCGACAGAAACAATTACAAATAAAACTAAGTCTAAAAACCCTAATCAAAGTAATTTCTCATTTACTACATTAAAGGTGGCTCTAAGAGAATAGAAATAAAAAGAATAGCCGTTTATTGAACATACAAAGGGGAATCCATTAGCGCTTTTCAGTATGTAATAAAACTTACGAGATAAATGGCACTTCACTGCAATTGTCCTTACGAAGTCTTTTGTCTTTGCGACACATAAGAGTATTCGACCTTCGTGATTTATGTCTAATATGTCTATGCATTATTTATTATTTGAAATATTGCATTTGAAAATAATATCTCTCTGAGAGGGTCATTGCTCTAAGTGGCAGTTCTTTTTTTACGATTGTAAGCAAATATAAGGCCATACAAGCAAGCGAGTTCTTACAGTCGTAGGTCTAGAAGTACAGTGTTATTGTTGATAATAATAATAATTTCACACATCTCACACACGCGCACGGCCGTGTGATCACAAACTAGGCAGAATCTCTGCTCCGCAGAACATACTTTATTGTATTTCTAAAGACATACATATTATGGATAAATTAAACCCAGACACAGAACAAATGATCGAGCTACCTTCCTAGCTGATGCTAATCCTCATTGAAAATAAAATCGTTTTCACAAGGGACAAAGGACGGGTAATAAAAAATTTTTTTTTTTTTTTTATTAAAACACCGCAGATCTTGGATAGTGACTTGGTATAAGAATAATTTTATGTGCATGTGTTCAGAGAAGTATTATAGCCACCGACACTTAGAATTTCATAGACGATCCATAATTGATAATAATATGCCATAATAATTATTGTTCAATAATTTGTCTTAAACTAGAAACCATGCTAATATTTCTAGGTTTATATTTCTGGCTCAAGAATTCAGTTTTTTCCTTTAAAGACAACTCCCGCACTAGGGATGTATCCTGTGTCGCGACTGACTTTACAAACAGTGATGAAATGGACACAAAGAGCACCCAGGCTCAGAATAACAATGTTGACACACACAATGTTGTCGCATGTGGAGAACCCACAACACTCAGCGCTTCAGAAAGCGGCGAGGTGATCGCTTAAAATCCTACGCCATTCTCAACATTCTATCACCTGTTTCTTAAATCACTGGTGATATTTTGCAATAGAATACAGGCCAAATTATTTCCACTTTGATCTACAGTTGTTAGTTAATTTCAGTTTCCAAATATTTTATCCAAAATCTATGATTTCTATCAACAAAATGGATGACTGATATTAAAAAAAAACACCAGGATGCCGCGCTGTCAATTAATAGTGATGATTGAGTACAACAGGCGTGTTTTTTTCTAATAAACATAGATATTTAGTGTGAGGCTTGGTGTTACGAGTTAATCAAAATGGAAAGGTTAGGAATAAAATTCGATTCAAATGAGAAGCTTTATGTTGTTACAAAAAGTGTTTTATGCTTATGGAAGAGTATCAAATTATATGTAGATGACAGAACACATTTTTTTAAATCTAGTGATTTCTGTATTAATACAACACAATAAATCTTTACATCGATTGATTTGATTATTTGATTTGATGATTTATCAAATTGCCTGTTAGGCAATAATGTTTATTTATGGACATTTTAAACGTTTTTATTTATAATCTAATACCTTTAAACGAGAGTATATACTCCAACGATTTAGTTTAGTATCTATGGGGTTTCGGGGGCGATTTATCTATTTAGCTAGGTTTCATTTTTAGAAAATTTACCAAAAAAAATACCGACAAAACTCGGTCATCCAGGTACTTATAAATAAATAAAAAACACTATAGTTTTAATTATTTATATAATTAAATTAGAATATGATAAGTGACTACTGAACAACGCCATTCCTACAGAAACAAAAACTATGTTTTTAGAATAATTATGGACCTTTCTTTTCATATTAACTTTCTATTAACACAAGTATTATGAACACAAGTACTTGTATTGGTAACACCGTCGATATATTCCAAGTAATCTTGAACATATAGATGTAAATTGGAGTTGAAGCAGAGTTCCTTAACGGAAGCTTGATTTGAACGAGAAAGCGTTAACAAATCAGGTCACATAGCCCGCAGGATCAAGCTCAATCAAGTGAACGAATCGCAGATGGCGCCGTTTAAATGGTTTGTTTACTTACAGGCCTATAAATTACGATTAAATGTTCAATCAATTAATGTTTGAGTATGGGATTTAAAACCAGGAGTCACCGCCATACCTATGTTCATATATTTTCCGTTACTTATTTTCTAAAACTCTTTATTAATAGGATTTGTTTTTGCTATGGGAAATTTAAATTATTTGATGAATAATTGAATTGAAGGATTGATTCGTTTGTGAAAAATTATTAAAGTCTTAAAAGACTATGACATATTAGATACTGTAGTAGGTAGTTATTAGTAAACTGTTGTAGGTAGTTATTAGTAAACTGTTGTAGTAATGTTCCAGGTAGTGTTTTGGGTTTAAAAAAAAACTAATTCAAAAAGATGATTCTCTGCATATTTATGAAAGTTTTTTTACAGATTTCAAAATTTCAAAATCAAGGGATTTATGATACCTTTTATTTCTAAGTAAAAAATAAATATGATGTTTTCTAATTACAATAGTGACTGTATCCAACCAATGTAAGCAGAAACCCTTGTGAAGACTGACGGCCTTCGAGCTTCGCAACCATCAGAGTGACCGAATGACACAACGCCCACCTGAAAAAAGCATTTTTAGCATTTTTGTAAAACTATTTTATAATTTTCCGTGGCGTTAAATGTTTAAGTTGGCGCTTTCGTTACCTTCACTTGTAACTAATTAATAAAGTATCTAACTAACTTATTTAGATATCATCATTATCATCAACAGCCTTTAGTAGTCCACTGTTGAACATAAGCATCTCCTTAGAAAGGAGGTTTTGGCCTACTATACCAAGCTGGCCAGACGGGTTGGTATAGGGTTTGTTTCAAGTTTCCAAGAACAGATGTTATAATGAAACTCCATTTATGTTTTAGCAACGACTCGCCTCGGCCATCTGCTCTTTTGTCATCTAAATAAAATAAAAATTAGACACTACGGTTGCTTTAATCGGTTTATTACTTACCAATATACTTCTGTGGTTGTGAATCACCGTCAAAGGTCCACCGGAGTCCCCATCGCAGGACCCCCTACCGTTTTCTCCACCGGTGCAAATGTGACTGCCATGAATCAGTATTGGGAAGTTTCTTTGGCAGATCTCATTAGCGATTACAGTGACAGTCGTATGGTGAAGCGCAGTTGTTGGTGGGAAACCGCTTTGGGCTGAGAAAAAACAAATATCGTATTATATTTCTTCTTTAGAGGAGAACACGGGTACAATGCTGATCCATCAGATTTCTTGGCACGATATTGGTAACACATGAGTACTACAAATGTTGGCATGAGTGTCTACAGATGCTAGCACATCCTAACCTGCAGCTGACCTGGTACTTGTTTGCTATCGTACTTGTCTAAAGTGTTGATATTGTTGTCTCATATGTAGGTGTTGAGCTACCAAAAGCAAAAACCACACGGTGTATTCCTTTGCGCTTGTAATAAGAGGGATCCGGTAACTGCTGCCATCCGGACCCCTCCTAACGCCTGCCCCCAACGGCACGGGCACCCCCTTCGGATAGGAGGATAGGAGATCTACTACAGGAACAACGAAACCCAATATGTTTACATTGCAAATTCTTAAAATACATTAAATTTGTTATATGAACATTTATTCTATTTTTTTATTTAATAAAAAGCCTCTTCACAAAAAAATCACAAAGAAACACGTTTTTTCGGACTTACAAGATTTTTGCGAAATTTCACACCTAAGGGGTTAAAATTAGAAATGAACCGTTTTAACATTTTCAAAATTAGAGATTAATCACACGAGCAAAGCCGTGATTAGCTATTGAGCTAATTATAAATATATTACACAATTAGTAAAATTATCGCGTAACAAACAAACAGAGGTTGATTAACAAGCAGAAACATGCATTGGTATATTAATTGTGATAAATGAACATGATAACATGAAACTGTTATCTACTGGGGGAGCTACCGTACTGGACATATTCAATACTACTAATCACCCATAATATATCATATATCTGTAATCTAATAACATTCACTGATAACTTTGTTTAATACATATCACAAGCGCTTCAAAGACATAATATTCAAGAGGTGTCGTTCGTGATTTATTCAGGTTAAGTAATACTAATGAAATCAGGAACGAATCTTGTTGTAAATCTGCAAATATTTGTTTTGGAGTTAGGGTGTTTTCTATGTATAATATTTATGTATTTACAAATTTATATATTTATATATATATATTCTATCAGTCAATCTAGTTTTCATAGTACAAGGTCTGCGGTACAAGGTAGTAAATTAGTCGAGTCACCATTGTGTCAATGCTCTACACCTAACTCTCACTATGAATAGTCTGCTCATCATATCCTGTGGGAATGTAGTCTTTGGTATAATAAACGTAATATAATGCTGAATAGCTTGCAGGTGACATCTGGGGCAGTATACTATGGGGATATTGTGTCAACTAGGGTGAATTTCCGTGCGTTTAGGCGATTCTGCCATACATATTATAGAAATCAAATATAGCTCACCTAGGAGCTGTAATATTTTGTGGCCGTGGTGCTTCCCTGTTTAAAAGTGTGTATGCCTATTTTACTTCATTTTGTCTCCCGCTTTGCTAAGGAGGGACTGCCCTCCTTAGCAAATTGGAGGAGTTGGAAATACAATAAATCCACTTGGATTTACTGTATTTCCAACTCCTCCAATTTTCTTCTGATTAATTTCGTTGCGGGTTCCAAGACAGTTTAATTTCTTCCTGGGACTTCCCGAGTGTCATAACTCGGTGTGTTCATGGGTCACTGCTGTGGATCCTGGTGTACAGGAGTTACAGTGGTGGGCGTGTGGGTGGGATTAGAACAAGGTCTGCTTAATTTGAAACTTGACGGCGCGGGCGTTGTGTCAGATGTCCGAAATATTATTATTATTAATGACTCATTATAAAATGAAAAGAGATAGAAATTAAAGGAGGAATTCTTATTTTCTTTATGAATGTGAACGGATGTTATTATACTGCAATATTGGCAAAAGAAGCGGTGATAACATTTTTTAGAAATCTTCACTGACGTGGAAGAACCATGCTTCAGCACATGGGTGCTGGCTCGAACGGAGCCCACGACCTCACAGAAAGTCCTTTCGTTTTTATTTCTGGAAGGTGGGGGGGGAAAACTAGTACACGGCTCACCCAATGGAAACCGCCGCCCCTGAACGTCTGCTACTCAGGAGTCACAATCGCGTTACCGGACTTTGAGGAAGGAGTAACCTCTTTTCTTGAAAGATTTGCTTTTCGTTGCTTTTCACCGAGTGAGTGACGTTACCAGAGGCCCAAACTCCGTTTCCCTTAGCTTTTCGAGAGAGGGTAAACCCCAAGACTTTCAATGCACTTATAACTCATTAGTAAAAAACCAAAAAAAAGTATCCACGACTCAATAACACACAGACACAGAGCAAATTACCGTGTTCATCACCCAATTACTTGTTCTAGGTGGGAATCGAACCCACGACCTCTGGCGTAGCAGTCAGGGTCACTAACCACTAAACACACATATTGCAACATGCCAGTACATAAATATTAGTAATATATATAATGTAGATGGCCAATGGCGACGGTATCGTATCCGTATTTAATAGTTATAAGACAACTTACCATCACTAGTTTTGCCAAACCCTGAGATCGTGCCTGTCGCACCCACAAAACTTAAATTAACCTCATTTATGGTCGGCAAAGGAATCGTTTGTATATTATCTGTAAAGGAAAATGCAATGTTATTAAAAAGTATTTCAACGATTTATACAAGAAAATGAATACGCGTTGCCAATAAGGACGTTACAGGGGAATTCAAAAGTAAATTACAATCAAATGCATGGCAGCGTAATGACACACACAAGGTAACTGCACCACTGATTAATACACTTAATTATTTCTAAGTAAATCGATATTGTGGGTAAACTAGCTGACCCGGCAAATGTTGTTTTGCCATATTCATTATTTCTAGGCAATTGACAAAAAAAAAGTTTAGGGTTGGGTCACCCTTATCATTTAGTGGTATAAAAATATATGTTGGCCGATTCTCAGTCCTACCCGATATGCACACAAAATTTTATAAAAATCGGTCCAGCCGTTTCGGAGGAGTATTTTTAAAAAACACCGCGACACGAGAATTTTATATATTAGAAGATTACATCTTGATACAAAATAAATCATCTCATCGTAGCTCATCGCAAATCTAAATATCCTGAGTGGAAATCGTTCTCATGACCTTTGGCTCAGTAATTAGAAAACTAACCAGAAGACTAAAAGGCCAGTCCGATAAAGAAAAGCAAATTATCCTGGTAAAACCCCTGTCAGGTCGACTAGCTGCAATACTGACGAAAAGTGACTAGAGTTGGTCCCAATGATACTCTAAAAATTGAGCTTTTTAGGGTTTCGATGGATTCAGAAAACAGAGTGTCACCACCCCTATTCATCCCGTCGGCGTCGTAAGGGCCGACTAAGAGAAAAACTACGCAGAACAACAGCTCTGCAGAGAGAAGGGAAACTTGACACAAATCCTATACCAACCCGTCTGGCCACCGTGGTACAGTATACAGTAGCAGCCCAAAGGTATATGATTTCTATTACGTAATAATTATCGGTAACATTATTTTATCATATCATTGAACGTGAATACTTCAAAGTTACTATAATTAAGTTACGGGGCAATTAACATTTTTTGGAAATCCCCACAGCACAATAAAATCAATAACTGCATTCGATTCATCTTTAATCTTCGTAAGTATGACCATATCACCGGTTTTCGTTCCCAGCTAAGATGGTTACCTATTCGTCAACGCAGGAAAATGTGCGCTCTCACAACTATGTACACTATCCTCAATTCCCCTTCCCCTCCTACTTATTTAACAACACTATTTCAATTATTATGCAACAACCACAACAGAAACCTTCGTTCGGCCAACAATCTTCTTCTACTCTGTCCTTCTCACACCACTGGGTTTGTCGGCTCTTCGTTCTTCGTCCAGGCTGTTATGGAATGCGCTTCCTCACGAAGTCAGGATGGCTACAAATCGGTACTCTTTTAAGACGAAAGTGAAAGAGCTATTGCTGAGCGAAATGGCAGATTCAACGAGCTCCTAGTTCATCGGCTATTTTTTTTATTTTTCTCATATATAAATGTGTATGTGTATGTGTAGGTATATATATATATTACGACGTATACACCAAATTCCAAGATAGTTGGTGTTTAACAATACCACTATCGTTTGTACCTTACCATAAATGCACCTACCTCATTCTTTCTCAGCACCGCCCAATCGGTCGACTGGCAGAGAATGCCTTAGGCATTAAGTCCGCCGATGCATGTACTTGTGCAAAAAGTTAAAAATAAAAATAAAATAAAATAAAAATTACTGCAGTTGGTGTTATCATTAAAAAAAGTTAGAAATCATCCAAGTTCTGAACATATATAAGTACTAAGTACAACATGATTTATTGTTATTTTAGAAATCGAATCATCACATGGATAACAAAAATTCTGTACAGTGATTATTGGGTTGTTACAGAGTACGCACGAGTTATGTGAAATCCCTACTGTAACATACATACGAATACATATTAACTTTATACATATATAATTAATAATACCCATGGTAGTTATTCTACCCGTTAACTCAAAGCTTCAGTAAAGTTAGCGTGGTGGTAACTCATTTTATTTCTACTAACCTAACTGTTAGGCAATAAAAAACACATAAAACCCAGTCCCACAGATTCGAAGTAATATGTGCACCACATATCAAATACGACATAACGACATTTGGACTTCAAAATTTACTAAAACTTTTCCAAATGATTTTAACGTGACTTTTACTTTAATATAAACGGGTTTAGTAACAGAAGATAGTGTCAACAATTATAACAACTCATCTGACTTAATATTTAAAGAATTTAGGGACCTTAAAGTTTATATCAAAATACTTATTCCATGGTAAAAAAAAAGAAACAAAATGTCTTTATTAAATACAATATTGCAGCAGCTGTCTTCAAATAGTGTGTAGTTAGTCATTTTGAGCTTCACAAATCCGACAATTTTACTTATATTAGGAAACTAGGATTTACATTTACTTTAAAAAAATATTTTGATATCGTTCAGGTAAAAATCTCTGCACTTTAGCTTTCTAAATATGTTCTACGTTTAAACTTTATGTAGATAAGTTTCACTATCCCCTGTTCGAGAAATTTGTTGACTGGTGGGTTGGTCTTTTGGTTAGTGACCCTAAACCGCAGGTCTTGGGTTCGATTCCCACTCAGGACAAATGATTACGGTCATTTGTTCTGTGTCTAGGTGTCATTTGTCTATAACATGTATGAATTTAGAAATATTTAAGTATGTTTATCAGCAGCCTGGTTACCATAGCACAAGCTCTGCCTAGCTTGAAACCAGATTGCCGTGTATGGTATATGAATCGAAGTAATTATTGTTTAAAAAGTGCAAAGAAAGATCAGAATAGAGTTATAATACATACTACTTATTGTGACTTGTCTTATGATAACCACGGCAATATCATGCAACATATTCGTTCGCCATTCCGGGTGAACCCTTACATTGGAAGTCTCTATCCTTGTCCCTCCTGAGAAGATGGTAAGAGAACCGAGTACCACAGTAAAGAGTCTCGCCTGGCTCTGCCCGTCCCACCAGCAGTGGGCAGCTGTGAGAATTCGGGTTGTAGAGATAAGGCTTCCACCGCAAATGGAGGTCCATCCTGTTATTAATGTGGTTATTATTCCAGCCTGGAACAGTTAGTAGATAGTAGAAGTTGTTTGTAAATTGCTTTGTATTTGAAATCAGGTTCGATTTTTTCAGAGGCTGATAGTAACCACGGAACACCATGTATACACACAACCACAACTTGACTACCGACTCCGGTGAGATGATCACTCATGGATCATCTACAGATTTTATGTATTCTATGTATAATATGTATGTATTTGCAAAAAAAAAAGTATACATGTATTTATATTAGTTGTCTAGTATACATAGTACAAGCTCTGCTTAGTTTGGGACTAGATGGCGTTGTGTGAATGTGGTAGAATATTAATATTATTATTATTTATTACTGGATGCGAGAAGGCCAAAATCGATCTAAGTGGCGTGCGATGGGAGAGGCCTATGTCTAGCAGTGGACTGCGATAGGCTGATGATGATGATGATGATGATTAAAACAAGCAAAAAGCACTACTTGAAAGGTCTACCGAAATATTCATGAAATTGAGACTTGTATTTTGTTTCTAAGATAGATTCCAATCATTTTGTCACATATATGGATGATAGTTTAATAACACTTCGTTCAGTTCTCAATAAATTACTTAACTATTTCTGTCACTTAATGAGCCAATCAGATAATACTCAAACGACGAAGATACTCAGCTCGATAGAAATGAGAGTAATTATTAAATATTGTTAGCAAACTCTATAGTTCCCTTATCTTATATTTTTTAAATGTAAAAGTTTTGAATGCGTTTATTTTTATAAAAAACGATAATTACTTGAGAAATTGACGCAGACAATGACCCGGAACGGGTTATCGTCTGCTGTATTTCCGGATTAGTTCCAGATTTGTTGTACGGGGCAAAAAGTGTCTCGAAAAGCGCACAGTAGTGGAGCGCCAACTATCCAGGTGATGAGGATGTAAATTTTGCCGTGTTGATCATACTTTGCTATTCTTATATACCTACTTTTAAATGTTGTCATATACCTGGTGAGGTATTGCAGCAGCAGTGTTCACCGGACTGCCGCCAATAACCCTAAGACCCTCAGCCATTTTCATTTGCCATGCCTTCGAAACTCCATACCTCAGATGGTAACCATACGTAGGCCTGTCTTCAAACGCACCAAAACTATTTTGAATAAATAAAACTAAACAAATTAATGATAACGCTCGGTACATGTTAACACTCGTTTCGATATTAGAAGACTATAGTTGAGATATATAATTCAATAGTAATTGATTTCTTATCGATAATAAAAAGTATAATATTGATATGTTCAACGAATTAAATTAACTGATTTATATAGTCCTAATCACAAAATCTTTAGCTGGTCGCTATCAATAAATATTATGAAACAAAGTCCCGTTTATATATCTAAGTGCGATAAACTGAAAAATCAATAGGAAAGAAAGAGTATTGACATTTTAATGACATTGCACCACAAAATATTATTGTACAGAATAGAATATATCATCATCATCAACAACAGCCTTTACTATACCACGCTGGCCAGACGAGTTGGTATAGGGTTTGCTTCAAGTTTTCATTCTCTTTGCAGTGCTGTTTTCCTACGTAGTTTGTTTCTTTAATCGACTCTTACGACACCCACGGGTTGAATAGGGGTGGTGATATTCCGTATTCTTAATCCGTCAACCCCCGGACAATAGAATATAATATAGTATTAAACAGAATAATAATTAATAGATTTATAAATTCATCATTGGCCTCTTGCGTTTGTTCCAGACGATTTAGTTACTGTCCCGTTACTTATACACTTTGTTTCGTGGCTATGTAAGCATATTCTAGAGCGGCAGATTAAATAATTAGACTAAGTCGTTGTTAGGTCTGTGACGCTTCACTCTTCTTTCTGCCAATTTCTGAAACCAGGTGCGCGCCCATCGATCACACGCTTCCTCCATTCGACATTCTCTCACGCTTTAAGGTTGATCTCAAATGAAATCAAGTCCCTTTAGGCGCAATCTTTAAATTGCCGTGTGGGTCTACCAATATCCCTTTTTTTGTAATTAATTGAAAATGTAACAATTTTTATAAGTTTCTTTATATTCTTACACATGATACAAAAACATAGTATATTATAAAGCTATGTTACTGAGCATGATACTGCACCACTGCAATAAAGCTCTGGTTTTTTGGAACACCTTGAAATGAATTTTAATTTTTATTTTATTTTATTTATTTAATATTAGTTACAAAATCGGTACGCAAGCTTTATGATACCACATAAACTCATTCGAGTTTTTCTGGGCATCGTTATCATTGACATTCAGTAAATAGTAAGTACAACTAATACGACAAAAGTAGGTACATGATACAAAAATTAAATTCGAAGAGGGTAGGTGGTAAGAGAACGGCACCGCCTCGCAAGGCCACCGCCCGCCAGCCGGCAAACTGTTTTTATTATTGTATGCCGAGTAGATAACAGCACGTTAACTGCATCCACAGTATAATGTTTTGTTTGAAAGTGAGCTAGATATGTAGTACTGTTAGATGTTAATAGACGATCCTTTATTAAATAGACAGATCACAACAATGATGCCAGCCCAATACCGCAGTCTCTGCAACCTGGGTGCCTGGTGTAAGTTTATTTTACATCAACTCGATCTTCATGGTGATCGCGTTCGCCGTTGAGATTGTTACCAGGGTTACCGGGGTCCAAACGCTCCCGCCCTTGATTCCGAGGAAAATTGAATTGAAAATTCCCCGCCTCTCCAGTGGGGTATTTATTATCCGAAGGGCTATTTCTGCATGAAAAAAAGTGCGGCTACATCGGCATTGCACGCGGGCTCTCACAGTTAGCAGCGGCCCTGATTGTTCTGGACTCAATTCGTCGTCCTTTCAAAAAGAAAAGAGTGTGTGTGCAATCCACACACGGCAGAAGTGGAACTTCCGAAAAAAAATATTTTCTATACAAATAAATAAAATTGAAATAATAGGTTTTTTTCATGCTCACACGGTTATTTGCACGATACCTTTGCCTAAAAACCAGTTTATATATTTTTCGTCTGTCTATTTGTCTATTTGTTCCGGGTAATCTTCTAAACGCCTGGACCAATTTTGATATTATTTTACCACCAGGTAGTTGACTATATAAAGAGTAATTTAGGTTATTTCGTTTTATTTATCTCAGAAAAAACCGGGCCCGGGCAAAATTTTATAAGGTTTTTCGATCCACTAAGGCACTAAGGCAGCGTTTTTCAAATTACATTACACATAAAAATCAGGTCACCCCTTTTCCTACCCTTACCTCTTTCCTTAACCCGTCTCTATCTCTTACATTGGTGCATGTCATTTTACAGGTAAAGTAAAAATAAAAAACCAAATGATTTATGATGCCTTTTATTTCGTAATAACAAAGATTAAATTCGTGTTTAATTACTGTACTGACTGTATCCAACTAATGTAAGATGCAACCCTTGTGAAGACTGACGGCCTACGAGCTTCACAACCATCAGAGTGACCGAAGGATACTACGCCCACCTGGAAAAAAGAACACATGTTTTGCATTCTTGTAAGTCATTTTGAAATGTTTCGTGAATTTTAATAATAATAATATTTGGGACATCTGACACACAACGCCATCTAGTTTCAAACTAAGCAGAGCTTGTACTATGAAAAGGGAAAGTAGATGGTGTTATAGAATATTTACATACTTTTGTTTTGTAAATACATATATATTATGCATAGAAAACACCCAAACTCCATAACAAATTTTTGAAGATCATACAAACAAACGCAGGAATCGAACCCGAGATCTCAGCATAGGAGTCGAATACGCTACCGAGGCAGTTAATAATTAAGTTAAACAATTTACATCGCGCTTAACTTACCTGCACTTATAACGAAGTAATTAAGTAACTAACTTATGTAAACAAATGTTAGAATCTAATTTTAAACCACTACCTAATTGCCATTTTTATAGGCCTATACACGAGCAGATGGGTCACCTGATAGTAAGTGACCACCGCTACCCATCATGGACATCTGCGATTGCCTTTGAGTAACCCCTCCCCCCGTCCCCGTCCCCCTTTAATCTATTTCACTAGTAACAATAATAAAGAAGGTGGAAAGTAGAGCGTAAAGAAGTAGAACAGTTTTTTTTTTACTTTATGATTCAGTTTGTTATTAAAAACAAGTGGCAAGAATGAAGAAGAATATTTAAAAAGTAGATAAAAAGAGAACGAAATAGTTTTAGGTTGGAGGGTTTGGACTTCCAGGCAATAGCCACTTTGAGTTACAGGTACAAGCGGTCCTATCCTACTCAAACTGTTTCTAACATTCTGAAGAATCCATCCTTTATACAAGCAATACGACACGGCACGGCTGGCGTAGTGGTTAAAGCGATCACCTCGCCGCTTCCTACTGCGCCGAATGTTGTGGGTTCAATTCCACATGGGACAACACTTTTTGTGAACTACAAATTATTGTACTAAGTCTGAATGTTCTTTATGTCCGTTTTATGTATGTTTGTAAAGTCGCCTGCAACACAGCATATATTCCTGGAGCAGGAATTATCAAAATAAAAATAAGACTTAAATCGCTTCAGTTCCTCAATAATGACCTTAACATACACTGTACAGTAGAGTGAGGTTTTACACACACACACACACACACACATATTCACACGCACACATACACAAATACCACACACCCATACACACAGACAGTATTATTTTAATTCTTTAATGTCATAAGTACTTTGTTCGCCCACTGCATGTACCAAAATTTTTTTTTAAGACAAAGACATTATAAGTGGATACTCTTACCTAGGATACAGACAGGTTTCCTGCCTAGTTTAGTAAAGAGAGTCCTATGACCTATTGAGTACAATAGGTTACACACAATAGGTCACAATAGGACCTATTGTACTCAATAGGTCATATGACCTATTGAGTACAATAGGTCATAGGACTCTCTTTACTAAACTAGGCAGAAACCAGTAGGTTTTTCCTTGTAATTTTAAGTATTATAAGAGAACACTGTATGCCTTGTATTAATTACTTACTTGAATAAAATTATTATTAATTAATAATAATTTACCAATATGTTTCTGCCGTTTTGAGTCACAGTCAAAGGTCCACCGGAGTCCCCATCGCAGGACCCCCTACCATTATCTCCACCGGTGCAGATATGACTGCTCTCAATCTTTATTGGGAAGTTCCTTTGACAGATCTCGTTTGTAATTACAGTGACAGTCGTATGGTGAAGCGCAGTTGTTGGTGGGAAACTGGCTTGAGCTGGTAAAAAAAATTGTTTAATTTATTGACGTATTTTAATAGTTGTAGTATTTTTCTGATTAATAGAAGATCTCGAGTACAAAGCTGAGTCATCTGAGAATCCTGGAGGGTATTCAAAGATAATAATAATAATATTTCGGACATCTGACACACAACGCCATCTAGTTTCAAACTTAGCAGAGCTTGTACTATGAAAGCTAGATTGACTAATAGAATACTTAAATACTATTTTTTTAGTAAACACATACATATCATAGGAAAAAATTTTTTGCAGATCATACAAACATTTGGTCTGACCCGGGAATCGAACTCAAGACCTCAACACAGCAGCCGCATACGCTACCACTCCACTACCGAGGCAGTCAAAGCATTTGTATTTTAGCTACAGAGGTTACCAGATCACACATGTCTCAGTTCTGAAACTACATTTCAAACTAAAAAGAAAAGTTCAAATTTAAATTCTTTATATCATTCATCATCATCAGCCTTTAATAGTCCACTGCTGGACATAAGCCTCTCCTTAGAAAGGAGGTTTTGGCCTACTATACCACGCTGGCCAGACGGGTTGGTATAGAATTCTTTATATATCCTTTATAAATATGAATACCTACAATATATTTCAGCTGTATCATATTAAAAAAATATAATTTCAAGGAAAAACCACCAATTATCTAAAATACACAGTACCTTACAAAGGCTAATTAATTAAAACAATCTGTGGAAATAATTCAATACAAAAACAGTATACCAATACCTATAGCTATGAAAATAATATATATAAGGTTACACAAATTATAAAATTATTAGGATCTTGCCTAAAGGAGTAAATTTCTTTTGTTTTTACGGTTCGGTACATGTACGGAACACAAAGGGTCTTGTAGCACGTTCCTTTGTAGAAATAACATTTTAATCTCTAACAATAGAACCTGAAGACTAGAATTATAATGTTTTAACCGCAAAAAGAAAATTTTAAAACTCGTTTGTGGAACTTGGGAAATTTGTTTGTGATGTAATATTAACCCGCTTTTTACAATAGTTGTATAATACGACTTTACCATTCTATTTAATACTAATTTAAGTATATCCAAAGCAGATAACATTGTATCAAAACGTAACTTTTAAATCTAGCACAAGTAAGCAGGTCCATAATTGTTACCTATTTTTAAGCCTATTACCTGTAAATGTACATTATGAAATGCAATAAATTGAATTGAAGTAAACAATCAGTCCTAAATAGTACTTTTTAGAATTTTTCCTTCAAAAATATATAAAACAATTTCGATTGATAAATCGTCTAAATAATTTCCAAACCAAAATCATTATCAATATATTCCACAATTGTAATCATCGCGTCACAAATATGAACTGATTTGTGGTTAATTAACAAACATAAACATGCATTGATGTATTAATAGTTATAAAGAACAAGCTGGCACGAATCATAAATTACCTAAAATAAATCTTTCTAATCCAATACCATTTACTGATTACATGCATTTACGGTTTTCTTTGTATAATAGGTTTCAAGAGAGTGTTAATCGTTAAGTGTTAATCATCATCAATACTTATAACTGTCTATTAAGAAAGAACAGCTAGAAAGGAAAGGCCTAAATTTCCTTACGAATGTAAACACACGGGTCCGTGTGATAACGGATTAAGAATACGGAGTGTCACTACCCCTACTCGTCCCGTGGGAGTCATAAGAGACGATAGAAGGAGAAAACTCTGCACAACAGTTTGAGGAAAACAGCACTGCAAAGAGAAGGAATACTTAAATCAAACTATACTAACCCGTCTGGCCAAAATCTGCTTTCTAAGAAGAGGCCTATGTCCAGAAGTGGACTATTAAAGGCTGTTGATGAAATGGTAATGATATAAACAGACGTTATAAAGAGATGGAAGATATCCACGTCATTTGCCAACCTGTCCCTCTGCGTGTCTACCGGATTAGTGAAGATAAGTGTGAGAAATAGCGAAAGAGTGGAAATATTCGTCTCTCGATTCACAAAGACCATTTTTTTATATTGTGTACGTAAGAATAAATAAATAGAAATAAATAAAGACTAGTGATATGCTTTGTTACAAGTCCTACATTAGAACTAACTGTTATCTCAGGCATATTCATAACTGATGATTGACGGAAGCTATGATTTGTTTAAACAATAAATAATTTTTATATTATACATAAATAAAATTGTTAAATATGTAGGTATCATACAAAACTTACCATTACTAGTTTTGCCAAATCCTGAGATCGTTCCTGTCACACCTACAAAGTTCAAATTCGCCTCACTTGCGGTCGGTAAAGAAATCAGTTTTATGTTGTCTGTAATAAAAAAAGGCAATGTTATAAAAAATATTAAAGCAATAAAGATAAAAATTTAAATAGTAGGACGTTGAAGAAGAATTGTATTTATAAGTCAATTGGTTTACAGCTAAATGTCTTGTTTTGTAATGCTCATTACTCATGATCATGTGGATTACAAAGCTAAAAGTAGGAAGTAAAACTAAAAGAAATATTATCAATAACCTAACACATTTGATCCCAAATAAACAGAGCGTGTTTTATTTTATTTGTACAGTTTAAAATGCAACAGTTTATACCAATATGTATTCGAGATCAATATTCGTATACCCATTTTGTGGCAAAAATAGAACGAAATTATATAATATAATATTTTTCAAACATTTCACACAAGGCTGTCTGATCCCAAACTAGGCAGAGCCTGTACTATGGTAACCAGACTGCTGCTAAACATACTCATACATTTCTAAATACATACATATTATAGATAAAGTACACCCGGACACAGAACTAATGACCGTGCTCATCACACAATTATTTGTCCTGGGTTGGAATCGAACCCACGACCTACAGGTCGTGGGTTCGATTCCAACCCAGGGATGGCGTAGCAGTCAGGGTCACTAACCATGAGGACCAACAGGACAGTCAATTTCTACATGAGGTGCAAGTTACAGCAGATGTCTAATAAATAATAATATAAAGTTATTCTGAACTTCACTAGACAGACTATATTACTTACTAGCTGACTCACTTCGTCTGCGTCTTTTAAAAGGAATAAATTTTCCCCGTTTTTGTAACATTCTTTATTAGTGCTCCGCTCCTATTGGTCTTAGCGTAATGATATATGGCTTATATCCTTCCTCGATAAATGGGCTATCTAACAACGCAAATTTTTTTCAAATTGGACCAGTAGTTCCTGAGATTAGCGCGTTCAAACAAACATACAAACAAACTCTTCAGCTTTATAATACGAGTATAGATTGGTCAACTAGATTATGATTCTTTTTATTATTATTTTTCATTAGAAAGTTGACATTCTTCCGTGAGTGAAAATTGTTTCAAAAGCATTACAAAAAAAGAGTAAAGTACAAGATAAGTTGATAAGAGTTTATGTTTAATAGTGAATGTGTGGGGTATCAGTGCAAGTAAAAACCCAATAAACGATGATATCGAAACACATTTGAAATGGATATTTTATTTTAACACCTATGACATGTACAATTCAATAGTCAGTTGTTTTTACTTTATGACACATATATACAGCTTGTAGACAGGCATAGATAGTGGCTACGGAGGTGTGCAACTCCTTACGTTATCACACTCCTCTTCACAGCTCACGGAGCCAACCCTAGACTGCTTCGTAGTTTTTCAGAATGTTGTTCATTTACGGTGTTCGTCGTCATTAAAGTGCTAAAAGCTATAGTATTAAACTAATTTTCTGTAATTTTAAGTGTATCGTGTGTCACGGGAAGAAACGGCCGTCTAAGATACAGGCCCAGCCTAGTTTTTTTTTTATGTTAGACGGGGCAGACGAGCAGACGGGTCACCTGACAGAAAGTGACTGTCGCCGCCCATGAACGTCTGCAACTCAGGAGTCACAATCGCGTTGCCATCCTTTTAGGAAGGAATACGCTCTTGGATATCATTATTCACAACAATGTAATTTACAACAAATGCGAAATAATACTGTGTGGATAATACCTTTGCTCGTATCATCCTTATTTTAGTATGCAGGTATGTAATATTGTGTGGTTGAAATAAGTAAATAAAGTATAGTAAAAAAAAACTTACTGGTTAACGTAACTTGTCTTATGACAACCACGGCAATATCATGCAACATATTCGTTCGCCATTCCGGATGAACCCTAACATTGGTAGTCTCTATCCTTGTCCCTCCTGAGAAGATGGTAAGAGAGCCTAGTATCACAGTGAAGAGTCTCGCCTGGCTCTGGCCGTCGAACCAGCAATGGGCGGCTGTGAGAACCCGGGTTGTGGAGATAAGACTTCCACCACATATGGACGTCCATCCTGTTGTTAGTGTGGTTATTATCCCAGCCTGAAATAGTAATAAGCTTTGTTTCTCAACAACTTTGGTTCTCCGTATCCAATACAACATTGCGTTTAGGGTGCTGTTGGGGCTACCCCGCTTGCACGTGCATCTGGCATGATCGCAGAGGTGGGAGTAGACTGCTTTCAAACTACACTCGGTTCCAAAAATTACGGGTCAGTCACAAAAATTGAAATACTTTAAGAACTGTAAAAGTTAGATCAATGAAATAAAAAACAGAATAAAGACTTTTTAGTTGCGCTTCTAATAGCATATTATTTAAACTGGTTGATGAAAAAAACTTCATTAGAAAAACAAAATTTTAAAAAATGACTATTTTTAAAATACAAAATTTTTGTTTCATTTCATTATAGATGCTTTACATTTCTATTCTGTCGCAAAAAAAATTGTCGTGAACGTCTTCCACGTGCATAATTAGTATTCTGTGAGGTGAAGCATGGCAGTCACGCTAGAAGAATGTACCAGAATCCTAACTTTTTTGGAACTTGGGCGGACCCAGCGTGAAACAGCCAGAAACATTGGTGTATCTTTGTCGACTGTTCAGCGGGTAGTCCAGCGGTACCAAGAGACCGGATCACACCTTAGAAGACCAGGAAATGACAGACTAAGATGCACAACGGCCAGGGAAGACAGACAACTGGTGGCTACAATGCTCGGAAATCGTTTTCAAACTGCTGTTGGTCTAAAAACTCACTTTATTCGCTTTGGAGGTGGCAATTTAAGCGCTCAACCAGTAAGAAGAAGTTTTGCTGAAGTAAATTTGAAACCATTGAGGCCCGCAAATGGCCCCAAACTGGAACGGGGACATCTAATTGCAAGACAGAGATACGTGCGCGAGCACCTAAACTGGACACTAGACTCTAAGAGTCTAAATTCATGCTTTATAAGCATGATGGTAGGCAGTTGGTGTACAGAAGACCAGGGGAGCGCTTCCATCAAGCGTGTGTGGAGGAAAAAGTGGCGTACAGTGGAGGCTCCGTACAAGTTTGGGCTGGGATTTCTACTGAGGCCCGCACCGAGCTGTTACTCATTCAAAATGGAACTCTAAATGCAGAGAGGTACGTGGAAGAGATCCTCAATGAACATGTAGGTCCTTTCATGGCCAGGATGGACCTTCATGGCATATTAATGCATGATAATGCGCGTCCCCATACCACCAGAATTGTACATGACTACCTTGAAGAGGTCGGTATCGAACTCATGCAGTGGCCAGCGCGAAGCCCGGACTTAAACCTAATCGAGCACGCCTGGGACGAGCTTCAGAGATGCGTGAAAGGTCGAAACCCCCACAATCACGCTTCCCGAGCTCAAACAAGCACTGGTGGAGGAATGGGAAGGTATTAATCAGCACCGGCTCCGAAATTTGGTGTACAGCATGCCCAATCGCCTAGAAGCTGTCAGAAGAGCTCGTGGAGGCAATACAAAGTATTAAATGAAGAAAGTGATAAAAAACTGCAAAAAAACAATCAGAAAAAATTTAATCTTAAGAAAAATATGACTACTTTAGTTTTTTTTTAATTTAGAGATAAGTTAAGAGTTAGAGAGTTTAGATTTAAGTTTTATTTTATTTTTTATCTGTATAATTAAATTCTCAATTGAACAGTCTTCGTTTCATTAGGATGGCATATGTAGTTCTGGAGATATTCGGGTTTATGTGACTGACCCGTTATTTTTGGAACCGAGTTTACTATGCAAAAACGGTGAGCATCTTAGTTGCGCATGGTGCGAGCTAACTCTTACAGCATACTAGCCATTATTGCAGAGAGGTTAGATTGTAGGCACATGGGTCACTGCAGTGCCGCTCCGTCTCTCATGGAGTACGTAAATAAAATATTATAAGCTGTCTCTACTAGCATATGTATATTATATGTATTATTTTACATAAGTTAAAGTTTGCATAGTTTGTTTTACAATCAAATAGTCAAGGTTACTAATAAAATCATATTATTATTTACTCATAAATCTATTCTCAGGAGATCTCCTTACAGTAATTTACGAGTATAACATACATAACATGTGTGAAACATTAAAGTGTTTTGTCTTCTAAGAATAGATTACAATGATATTATTAAAGTGAAAACTTCTTTAGGCGCTTTGGGCATTTTTGAACAAACAAACAAAAGAATGATTTTTTTTTGAGATGGGATAAACCATTGAATTCGCGACACTGTTACCGTAACCGACACCTATGTATATAAGTATCTACATATCCAGTTTAGATATATATTCGTGTCGGAACTTTTCAAATCGAAAAAAAGCAATTAAAGCTGAAATATTTAAATTTTCAAGTTTTCACTTTCACTTACTTTCAAGTTTCACACACACACGGCGTGTGCACTCCGGGAGTATAAAATGAAATACCTACAAACTTGACATAATAAAGAAAATAATTTTTAGTTTTAAGTTCTATTATCATTTACCTGGTGAGGTATTAAATCAGCTGTTTTCACTGGACTGCCACCAATAATCCTAACACTCTCAGCCGTTTTCAGTTTCCATGCCTTCGGAACTCCATACCTCAGGTGATAACCGTACGTGGGCCTGTCTTCAAACGCACCAAAACTATTTTGAATAAATAACGCTAAACAAAGTAATGATAATGCTCGATACATGTTAACACTCGTATCGATAATAAACAACTGATATGCAATTAAGTAATGATTGTTTTCTTGTCGATTAGAATGAGGAAAACATTGATATGTTAAATTAATTAAACGAACTGATTTATATAGCAAAACTAGTACTATCTATTATCTTAATCCAAAATCTTTAAACGGCTTTTATCAATAAATATTATGAAACAAAGTCCCCCATATCGAATCTGTACGTGTAATGTGAAAAACTGTAAAACCGACAATCGGAATTGAATACGTTTTCATTTATGAGTTACGTTTACATTATAATTCATTAAAGGTTTTGTCAGCTTGTGATAGAAAGAAGATAAGCAATCATCATCATCAACAGCCTTTAACAGTCCACTTATGGACATAGGCCTGTCTGTTACAAGGAGGTTTTGGCCTACTATACCACACTGGCTATACGGGTTGTTATAGGGTTTTTATCAAGTTTTCCTTGTCTTTGCAACGCTGTTGTCCTGCAGAGTTTGTTGCCTTGATATGTGATATGAGTTTGGTATGTAATATTTAATTTTATGGTGAACAAACGGACGGGTAACCTGACTGCAAATGACTACCACATCCCTCATTCACTTGGTAAAAAGATTTAGTTTTCTGTGAGGTTGTGGTATCATTCAGGTCGAGGCAGCCCTTATGTGCCAAACTATGGCTTTACCCATCATAGATATTTAGTTTATTAATGTGATCGCAATATTAAGGTTTATTGTGATATTAATGGGAGAGGCCTATGTACAGCGGTGGACTGCGATAGGCTGCGCATTATATTATACGTGTTTATGTATTATGAAAGTTTAGCTTTAATTTGCTGAAATATTGATGTCATTGCTAATGTTATTGAAGATGCCAGAAAAAAAAACGTGTTTTCCAGTATTTATTGCAGCTCAAATAGGTTTGTCATACTCTCCTTTGACAAGCCAAGGCAAATAATAATAATATTGTACCACATTCACACAACGCCATCTAGTCCCAAACTAACCAAGCAGAGATTGTACTATGGGTACTAGACATCTGATATAAATACATATATGTATATGTCGCATCCGGATCATTTCTACGGAAGATCAACGACACACAAACGTCATAGTGACGTATACAGAGCCTAGGTTAGAGAGGGGTAAACGTAAAAGAGTGTGCACACTGTATTCGGAGCTCTTATCGTACTGTCCGCTCTAAAGTAACACTAGCTTAGGAACTGTACTGTGTAATTATAATTTAAAGTGATATTAAAGTGAAGAGTAAGTTTGTGTTATAATCTACCTACCTAAGAAATAAATCATTTAATAACCTACGAAGAGTTTATTTCTCGCCCGGATCCCTGCTGATGCCCACAATGAGTGACCGTGAGAATAACGGTTCTCCGATATATACTTTTTTTTTTGTAAATACATACTTATTATTATTATACATTTGAAATGACTAATTATACCATAGATAACATTATTTTCAGTTCAATGGCAAACATGTATTTACATGCAAATAAATACATGTCTGCCATTACAGTACAATTGCAAAAAATGCTTTTAAATATTTATATTAAAGATTTTTTACAATCCTTTTATTTTTTTACACAAAAGTATTTTTATCGGTTTCAAAAAAAAATCTCTAGGCTTTTGCTTGGTTCATATAGTTTAAATTAAGGTATACTAATCAGAACATTTCCTAATTCCAAGTATTGTAAATTTAAAGATTTATAGAAAAAGTATTTCTTAGAACTAAGAACTTAATTTTCTGTGATTTGCTGTTTACCTATATAGCAAATTCATTGAGTAACTAAACAGATTATCTCTGATCTGCTATAATTCGTAAATGCGACGATAAAAAGTACCTTGGGAACAGATCTTAATATTAATTGACCATTTGAGAAGTTAAACCCAAAAACAACAAGGGCGTAATCGTAAAATCGCTGTGGCGGAACGGTTGTTACGTCCCTTCAACACAAAGGACTCCCTCGGAGTTAGGGTACTCCGACAAGAGCATTCATAGTAATTATTCTGTAGTTTGGTGTGTCTTCATTTGAAATATGTTTATTTTTTGCGCGTGGAAGTCGACAAACCCTCAAAAAAACTTTTCGTATTTACAGAACTTATTAAAATCTTTGGGAGCTATAATTCATATCACATGACACAGTTCAACATCCTTTAATAGTCCACAGCTGAACATAGGCCTCTCCTTAGAAAGGAGGTTTTGGCCCACTATACCACGGAGGCTAAAATCGTAGTATTATATATTTTTCTGAAAAAATTAACCAAAACTAAGTAGTTTTTCATTTAAAGTATAACCTATAACACGTTTTAGCTTGAACTGAAACATACACAGTACAAAAACTGATTGAAATCGTAGTTCTCACGAAATATACACAAAATCAATATCAAAGAATTATATTGTTCATGTTAACACGAGCAGATAAATACACAACAGAACAAGATATCTTGTAGTTAACAAGAGTTATCTTTGCCTGAAAACGCCATTTTATTTCTTGAAAATTTAAATTTTAGGATTTCTCCGATTGTAGAATCGCACGTTATGAATAGACAGTAATTATGCTATGATATTAATTGCCTATTGTCGAAGGTCGCAGGGATTTCCTTTCTGGGGTACACCAGAGACCCATCCAAAGGGCTTCATGACAGAATACTGTATGGTTTAAGTCGGTTACAGTGCTACACACCTCCTTACCTTTGCCTCCGATGAGTTGCCACACAAAAAATAGAGTAATTGACTAAATCAAATTTAGAACACAAAACTTTCTTCCATTATCCTTTGATGTTCATTTTACAAAACCTGTCAATTACCTTATCACCTCTAACTAGCGTAAATACATTTCGAAACAAATTTATTTTACTTCAAAACAAATACCTCTTCATTGCCAGTTCAAAATCTTGACCAATTTATAATTTAACCCCTTTCTTGTACCGCCTATAGTAAGTACCCTTAGCCCAAAATCCATGATTAATCACTAATACAAACTACCTCTCACAGAATTCCTATTATACTGTACAAAAAGTTGTCCGTGTCAAAGGTCTGACGAAGCTAATTAAAGCTTTGTAGATCTCTGTCTTTGAACCCGAGACTGATTAATTACTAGTAAAGCGGGAGGGGTTTTAATATTACAAGGTATTTTTGTACGGTAAAATGGTTATGGCAGCGTTGTAGTGGATTTTTAAATCTGTACAGTGTGTAAGGGACATCGTAACGAATACTGAAATAGTGTATTCAGACCATGATTCTGAGTCGAAAATCATTGGAATTTTTTGCCGGAAAATTAATCAATGTTTTAAAAAAATGGAAATCAATAAAAAATCAATCAAACAACCGAAGCGCGCGGGGCCTCCCCTCCGGCCGCCGAATTGTGTTAGTGTGCGTAGACTGTTTGCATGGAATACACATGTAGTTATTACTTTTGTGCCATACCTACGGTTCGGGTACGATACGGTTCTTTTTCAAACAAATATGGCGTACAGAACTTAATGTTCATATATAGTAAAAGTCACTCACAGTCCATCACCATTAAATCTGTGTTGTGCAATTTCATTTGTACATTAAGTACTAAATACAGAAACAAATATGCAGAAAGATACATTTTCAATAACAATAATATTTGGTTAAAAGTTATGTAACACGGATGTTGGTGTACCGGACAGATTTTATTCTGTCGTGGTATTAAAGTCTGTGGCAGTTAAGAGTAAATTGGCCAATAATATAAAATAGGAGATTCAAGGCGATTGAACTACGACCACCCAGGTGATTTTTACTAACAAATAATTGCATATATCATGTAAGTGAATCTTATGGAAGACTTTCTATTGAAACGATTTCCACTCACAATCCACGCACAACAAAATTTGTATATTTTTGTCACAGTGTTTTTGAAAAAAGTTTCGTTTTAGTTGATGATGATATAAAAACTATTCAACAAAAGTAGCTAACGATAATTCGCATACCGTAATATGTAGATTACGTTGAAAATAATCCGATGAGGAAAAATTCAAAAAATACAAGCATTTTTATTTTTGGATTGGATGAACTTAGATAAGGTTTTTTTTTAAAGATAATGAAACGAAAGATAATTTGATAGTTATTTAATTCCTTAATCTAATCATACTTTTTGCACAACCGACTCATGGAATAAATTGTCGCCTGCGGTATTACCGGACCGATATGACATTCGATTAATTCAAGAAAAGAGCGTAGTAAACCCAAAGACTGGTGACATACTCTTGAGTTGCAAATAACCCCTCCCCCCTAGTTCTGAGTGGGGGTAAAAGGAATAAAGGCTGCCGTCACCTTTATATACTTACCATCAGTTGACCCGTCTGCTCCTTGCTCTTAGCCCCCTATTCCATATTTACGACCAATCCCCCCCCCCCCACTCCCTGCGCGCACTCCATAATCCATTAGTATAAGCAAAGTATATGTCCGTGTGGTGACGGTTTAAGAATATGGAGTGTCACCACCCCTATTCATCACGCGGGTGTCGTTAGAGTCGACTAAGGGAGCAAACCATATAGGACAACAGCACTGCAGAGAGAAGGAAAACTTAAAACAAACCCTATACCAAACCGTCTGGCCAGCATGGTATAGTAGGCCAAAATCTTCTTTCCAAGGAGAGGCCTATGCCTATGCAAAAATTTGACTAACAGTATTACGTGCGTCCAAACAAAATATACTTAAAAGCATGTGATTATTAATTTGAATATAGAAATACTTCAAATGGCAACACTGTTACAAATAATTGGAAAATTCATATTTGAATGCAGCAACCTCATTCCAAAATATGTCAGTAAATTCGAACAATGTGTTCATCAATATCATAATTTTAATAAATTGTTTCCAATTGTGTGTAACTGATTTTAATTAAATATCGTATGACGTGAATTATGTTACACATGTGTGAGCTCTTGTTGCGATTATGTTTATATGCCTTTAAATAGAAACCTGGACAGATTTATATAATACTAGCTTTTCCCGCGGGTCCT